GATAGTCTGCCAGGAAGATCAACGTATCTGCTTTTTCTTGTTAGCAGGCCAGACAGAACTTCAGTTTGGTGCTGAACATATAGAAATGTCCTCCCAAGGCCTGCTCTGCTTTTCTTTCTCCCCATTCTCTGGTTGTACAGCCTGAGCTATTCTGCATCTGTCTGGCTGCTAATAAAGACCACACACATATTTTGGGTTTGGGAGTTGAACTGTTCAATTCAAGGGGATGGCATTTTAACCTCTTTTTATTCACTAACAGCTGAGGTCCTACCTGCGGAGTGGTTCTGCCTGTATATTTGCATGTTCAAAGTGCTCTTGCCTTCAGAATGAGCCATAGTGAAAACAGGAGGCAGGTTCTGCTTTGACCACCGCTGTGGGCCAGGTGGCCAGATCCTTTCTGTTCTCTGCCTGTCACCCGTCTTTAAAATGATTTTGTGCTTTTGAAGAGAGGCTGGGAAAGGAAGAGGAAAGAATGAGAGAAGCGTGCTAACCGGACCCTCCAGCCACTCTAGCTCACTAGATTTCAGTCCACAGGGGATGGCCGTTTGGGGGTCCGTGATCGACTTTTTATAAGAAATAGAAAAACATGTTTTTCAATCTTCTTGTCTAGATTTCTGAAATTTTGTAAGGAATCTACACTTGCATTTGAGAATTTTTAGACTTGGTCAGCTGCCATCACCAGAAGACTGAGATGGGATGTTATTTAAACCCCACAGCCTTGTTGGAATGAGTTACGGGTCAGAAACTGTTCATGCATGGGTAGTCCCAGGGTTTTCTTAGAAAGAGGTGCCTGCACGTCGCCAGCCCGGGATGGACGGCTGTAGCTGTTGGGGATTGCGAGCCACTGAGGAAGGTGAAAGTGCTGTGGGAGTGAGCCGAGGCCGAGTGCTCCGGCAGTGAGATGACGGATGAGAATCCGCGCAGAGAGAGTGTGGTCACAAGAGTGATGATGTGTTTTGGACGGATTACAATAGCTTCATCGCAACATCAGTTCAGTGGTGAAAAGCATAATAAAGGGGAAAATGCTGGGATTAACTCACAGGGAACAGTATAGAGAACAACTACAGCCTGCTTCCTTTCTCCATGGTGCACCTTCGTCTCCATTCTCAAAAGCAACACTATAAATCCAGAAAAGGTTCAGGTGATGATGGTCAGAAATGCAGGGAATAGCTGAATAAGCCAGGAGTCATCAGTGTGGAAGAGGGATGATTATGGGAGATCTCGGAGAGGTCTATATGTATGTTTTGGAGAGACTGAATATATAGTTTGCTGCCTTCTCCACTGCAAGAGCCACAGGGTATCAAATATGAGTGGTAGGAGGCACGTTTTCATGCAGCTTGCAGTTACGCTGCAAACCTCCTTGTTGCAGGATCCAGTGGATGGTAGGAATGCTTACGTGTGCTTAAGGGAGGATCGGTCAATTCAGTGGCAAGAAAATCCTTTGAGGAGTACTAAGTGCACGGAATCTGCGTCCAGCTCAGTATGTCTGTGCTGCGGGTGGTTGTAACGCTGGTCAGTAAGAGCGTGATACGTACACGCCCTGTGCTCACGCCGTCTCACTTCTTGAAGAGGATCTTTGGGTTGGCCCCATATCCCAGGATGGCCAGCCTTTCCAAGGACACGCAGGTAACACCTCGTCTCTTCCTTCTGGGTCTCACCACAAGTACTGGAGTACAGGTGGTACAGAGGTTAAAACGTCCGGAGAATTTGCAGGTGTGAGTGTGGGAAAGGCATATAGGAGGTCAGATTCAGCCCGTGTTAAAGCAGCGTCAGATTTTATGATGGAAGGAGCTATTGAGTAACTGGAGGTGGAAATAGTGTCGTAGGAGTCAAAGAAAAGGTTGTAATATCATAGACCTATTACTAGGTGGCGATAGTAAATTGTTAATGATGCAGGAAAGTCCCAAGTTTTCAGCAAGTGTTTTTGTATTTGGAGAGAAGTTGGAGGATGTGTTTGCAAAATACATGTGATGAGTTACTCTCCGCTGTGCTGGTGATTGGAGATAACGCCAAACACTTTCGATGGGGATACGCTATTTAAATCCACAGCCCCAGATAACTTTAACCTGGAAGCGTTAGAAGTGCTGATTGTTATTTTTAATTTAGATTACTAGGAAATTTCAGACGACTGGCTGAAGTTTGCCAGTGCTGGAATGACCTGTATGCCATTACCCTCGTGTTTATTCTGGGCAGAATTTTAGAAATACATTATTTGATTAATAAATAACTAAAGGTTAGGCATATAATTAACGCCACTCAGCTTATGTTTATGGCAAGTACAGTAAGTTCTCTCAAATCTGGCTTGTTTTTGTAAGATGACCATGGTGATTTGATAAAGCTGACAGCCCAGGTGTAAAACAGTGTTGCGTCTGGTCCAGATGCAGCACTACATACACAGTATTTGAGTTGAAAAAGTTAACTCTGTGTATCATCAGCAAAGTGCTGGGTGGACGAGATTTCCTCAACTGGTTGTCTGTGGAGAATAAAATTCAAACCGAGCTTTTTCCAGGCACTGTTGCAGTTCGTGCCGGTCTTGACACTGGCCTGAAAGCCTTTAATTCAGTCACTTCTCATGGAGCTCATCGCCACCTTTGGTGGTACAGCAAGTGCTGACGCTATGAAGCACAAGTCTTACAGGAGCAGGAGGAGGATTTTTCAGTAGGATCGGTCGTGAGCTGCATGCAATGAAACTTTTTTTTCCTTATACTACAGAAACTGTCGTGTCTGTGTTGGCACAAGTCTTTTGTGGAATTGTCCTCGCGGTTGGGCATGCTGTTGCACTTTGGTAGCCTTACCTGGTGCGTGATGCGTAATCATCTGGCTACCTAGATGTAATTGATGATAGAGTTTTATTAAATGTTTTATGATGCCAGAAACATTTTGTATGCAGAAGAGTTAGAGGTTTGTATTTGGATTGCATTAGTAAGTAGCTTAGGAAATAAATTGATTAGAGTTATCACCAGTTGCCAAACAGCTTCATTAGAGAAGTTCTGGACTGACACGCGGTACAGGTCAGTGTTGGGGAGACTAAAATCAGATCAGTGATGGCCTTCACAGGCCAGCAGCAGAGAAAGTAAAAGGAGTAGCGGAAAGGAGCCAGACTTAAAAATGCAATATTTCGATGATATTTTTACTGGATGGAGCCTTAGCAGTGGGAGTTTGACAACAGACTCTAGAGGCTCTATCAGTCCGTCCTTTGTTTTTGGCAACCCAATTTGGCATCGTTTCTGATCTCGCTGAGGGTTCTGCCTGTGCTGTTGTCCCTCTCTGTGATGAAGATATTAAACAGGACTGGTGCTACTGTCAACAGCTTGTTTGGAGCTGGTCCTCGGGAAGACGGAGCTGACTCTTGGGACATCTCAGTCTGTTCCTGTAGGTGTGTGGGATTTAACACCATTTCTAGACTAGGGTTTGCTAGGAGTCCTTCACACCTTTTGTTCCCAGACTTTGCCCTGAGGTCCAAATCTTGGACCCTGGCATGTTTTGGTCTTGCTCCATTCCCTGCCTTTCCTGTTGGCATTCATGTGATGTGGTGCAATAAACGGAGGGCCTTGGGCATGCTCCAAATGTTTCATGCTTTTCTGAGAAACCCCAAGCATGTGGGTCTCGCTGATGATAAGATACCCGGGTGCATGTAGCTGAGCACCATTTGACCGGATTAAATTCCTAGTGCCCTCATTTTGTTGTTGTTTTTGTAGGAAAATCGTGGCTTGCAGAAGTGCTCCAGCCCACCTTCACAGGACTCCTCTCTGCGCTTTGCAGTGTACTTCGTCTTTTTTTTGCCTCATTGCAGGACGCACGCTTTCTACTTTTTAACCCCTCTCCTCTTGTGATCTTTGCATTTCTTCTGCAGTCCTTTTGCCAAAACCATTGCTCCGTGTTTAATGGATTCTGCAGTACCCTTAGGTTGTATAAGGTCGGTTGGTGGTCAAAGCACCTTCTCTCGCTTCCGCCTCAGTCGGCATGGTCTGCCTAAGGATCCGACCGTACCTGTTTAAAAGACAACTTATGCTGTGTCTGTCTCATGGGTTAGTAGATTCAGGTGGCATTTGCTGAATCGTTCTGTGGCCACAACCGTGGGAGCAGTGTCCTCGCTTCTACAAGAGGGAAATAAGAGTCTGAAAAGAGAAGACCATTGTGTTGCCTGAAGAACACTTCGGCTTTTAAAGGATGAATTAATCTCTCTTCTTTGCCATAGTTCACAGACGTACCTGGCATTTCTAAGTGTAAGAAATTAACAAAATAATCTACAACAGAATTAAATTAGAACAAAACCAGGAGCTTGGAATAATGGTATTACTGCCAGATGTAGGAAAGACCAAGTGGGCTGGGTGCTGTCCCTGAGCCCAGCTTTAGGCACAGTGTTACTGGCAGAAGGAAAAAAAAAAGATATTAATGTTAGAAACAACCGCTTGAAAATTGCCGATTGACATTGAAGGGTTGTGTGTTAAGCTGTCCACAGAACGGGAAATGCTGTTGCCCAAGGGGAACAGAGAAATCCTTACGAACTCCTAGAAGGGAAGTGCAAAAAGTGCCTCTGGCCATTCGGTTACACCTGTGAGCAGCACGTACGGACAAAGCTGCAATTGGCTGACAGTTACTTTATTAAATGCTTTTGCTGGAAGATTGTGTTTGTGGGAAACACAAATGTTTTACAAAGAGGAGCTTGTTTCACCGCAGGCAAGATAAGCCAGAAACAGGATTTTAATGTTTTTTTAAAAACAAAAAATCTTCGTCAAAATGACTTTTGGCAATCTATTCTTTTTTATTATTTTTCTTAAAGATTGAGGTTGAAACCCAAATGGTGTGTTATGATTAATGACCATTAATTTATCTTTGGTTACTGGCATGTGAAAATTAATACTGGAATGGGTCAGGAGTGGGAATCAAAATGTGATTGTGTCCTACCAGAAAATTGTGTCCTGAGAGCTGGTGTTGCCGTGTCATTCTGCTAAACTGGCGTCATTCCTGACCTGACCTGTCCTTTTGTCTTTCTGCAGGATGGGATAAACATTCTTATGGGTACCACGGTGATGATGGGCACTCCTTCTGTTCTTCGGGGACAGGACAGCCCTATGGCCCTACGTTCACCACTGGAGATGTGATCGGCTGCTGTGTCAACCTTATCAACAATACCTGCTTTTACACGAAAAATGGCCACAGTTTAGGTAAGTAAAGAAAGGTGTTCTCGGGAGAGAGCTGCTCCTGCCTCCTGCCCTGCTCTCGCTGCTGTTCACCCGAATACTTTGCATGTGGCATAACTCTTATCCCGCATCTGTGGGTAAGATTTAAGAAACGAGAGAGAAAAAGCACACTCGGCAGCAGTCAGGAGTTGTAAATTGGCTCCAAGATATAAATACTTCCAGCACATAAAATGGTTTCTGTGCTGCTCGATGTATTAGGGTAGGTCAGGGTTGCATCCCCAGCTTCTAGTCCTTTCCTCTGGTACTGCCCAGCTGGGGGTGGTGGTGGATAAGATGGCTGATGGCTGGGCAGCAGGGAAATAAAGAGATGGGAACTTCAGTCAGTGTATTATTCAGCTACCCACAAAGCCACTGTATCAGTGTCTTTTCATTTCTAAAGGGACTTGTCTGTCTGTAAGCCTTAACACATTGGGCCAAGCATTCCCAAAGCCAGACATTAATTCAGCGTAAGAACTCTTACTTAAGCACTGACCTATGACTTGGTTCATTCCAGAGTTGTTTCAGTAGTTCCCCTAAAGTTAAGGAGTTCAGAATTTTACCCAAAGGAATATCTCACAGATGTTTTCCAGGCATCCATTGTATCTGATTTGTCTAAAATAGAAAGTTGTGGCCATTTTCACCTAAAATGTCTTTCCCTTGGATGACATACTCTCCATCTCAGATAAATTCTTGTCATGTTTTTTTGTCATGTAAGACACGCAGTAAATTTTGATGAGTTCATTTCACTTTTTGTGCTGGAATTCATTTGGTTTGGTAGGGACAGGCACTCCTTTCCTTTGCTTCTCCTTGCTGTGTCAATTCTACTTCGTTGAATTCGAGATGAAGCAGCTGGTAGAAAAATACCCCACTCAAAACATTTATCAGAACAAAAGTCGTTTTGAGTTACTGGCTGGGCTGAAGGAAGGAGTGGGATTGGAGTGCAGTGTGTGTCTGGAGAGTGCATAATTTCTGGTGAGCTGTTGGGAAAAGTACTGGGCTTCCCCATACAAGGGAGGGACGGACATACTGGAGAGAGCCCAGCGAAGGGCCGTTAAGGTGGTTAGGGGACTGGAGCATCTCTCCTAGGAGGGAAGGCTGAGGGAGCTGGGTCTGTTTGGCCTTGAGAAGGGTCAGGGGCATCTCATCAATGTATATAAATACTTGAAGGGAGGCTGCAAAGAGGATGGAGCTAGACTTTTCTTGGTGGTGCCCAGTGCCAGGACCAGAAGCAACAGGCACAAACTGAAACCCAGGGGTTGACACAAACTGAAACCCAGGAGATTCCCTCTGGACACCAGGAGACACTTTTTCACTGTGAGGGTGACCAAGCACTGGCACAGATTGCCCAGAGAGGCGGTGGAGTCTCCATCGGTGGAGGTATTCAGAAGTCACCTGGACACAGTCCTGGGCAGCCAGCTCTGGGTGGCCCTGCTGGAGCAGAGGAGTTGGACCAGATGACCTCCAGAGGTACCTCCAACCTCAGCCAGTCTGTGGTTCTGTGAAAGCAGCACATTATGCTACAGGTATAGCTGAGAGATGGATCTGAGATGCGGGCTTTTCACCCTCGAATCCCAAGGAAGATCCTTCCTTTGAGGCAGGTGCAGGAAGGCCTGGTGCCTGGACAGAACTTTTTTTGGAAATTTGTTTTCAGTTTTCCTCTCATTTCATGCTCACTGTTTGTTGATTTGTGAGGGCATGGTTGTCTAGAAATGAGGCATGTGCCTTCTGAGATGCATTCTAGAGTGATTCTGTGACCATGCATTCACCTACTAGTCCTGGTGCTTTGCAACATTTCAAGAGGTCTCAGCCCTGAATGGAGAAAAAATAATCTTTGAGCATCCTTTGAGATTCATTTTTAACATTCTAATTTTATAAATGGAGCCTCAGTCAGAAGCCCAGTGGGAAGCTTCTCAGAGTTGAGTGTTTCTTTTATGAAAATACAACTATTTATTAGCCAGACCATGTGCGATGCTGGGGTACTCCTAGTGAAGACTTGTGGCTTACTACCTAGCAAGATCAGTCACTAGTGGAGATGCTAGGAGTCATTAGTAGTCCATAAGTCTTAGGTAATTGCCCAGAATTCTAATAGCTGGATTATTCTAAATTTAGTTCATAATCTGTGGACGTTGCCCTTGTCAGTCCGGTACTAGGAAGACAAGTAGAGGTGTGAAAACAAGAGTTGATGGTGTAGAGCGGGAGCTTTTGCTTAGGAATGAGACAAGTTCACCATACAACAGTGACTAAGGTGCCGAAACAGTTAAAAAGATGTCACAAAATCTCTCCTTTTAGTTGCTGTCCTTGATTTTTAGTGGGTATTTACACAGAAGCAGTATAGTGGTTTGTGCTGTGCTCCTCTGGCTGTTTTCCTTTATTTGAGTGGGTGGTTTTCCAGCTTCACCGTTTTTTAGCGTGCCAGTGCTGTTATTTTTCATCACAACGAAAGCGTAACAGTTGGGAAGAGGCCAGGTCTTCTGTTTAATGAATAGAAATTTGTTCATTTGAAGTTTAATTCCTTTTTAGTGATCAGGAGTCTGCAGAGTAGAAGAGGTTTCGCTTGAAAAGTTGTCCCTTGCTCCGTCCTTGTTCTGTTCCCAGGGCCGTGTTGTGTCTGGGCAGATGAAGCCAAACAAAGAGCACAGTTCAGGAACTTCTGTATTGCATTTCGTCATTACTGTCCTCTGGGTCTTTGCCTGGTGTCCTGCTCAGAGATTTGGTTTGTTTGGGACATTTGGAGGTCTTTACAGCAATGAAGTTGCCTGGTCTTCCTTTCTTGAGTTTTAGCGTTCCTTTTCCTTCAGAGATGGTTTTTTTGGGTAGAAAGCTTGTGTTTTCTGATCTGACATTGGTCCCTTGGGGAGCAGCCTAGCCCAGTGGTGAACAATGCCAGTGGGAAGAAACAGGAAAGGAATGGAATTAAATTACACCGTGCTTAGAGAACAGCAGTAGATTACAGGCGTAGCTGTCTCCTGGGTATCCTCCTCTTGGGCTCTTCAGGTGTATGGTACAAGACATGAGATGTAAGAGAAAATTACAGGTAGGAGACTCTCCTGAGCGTTCACAACTGGCTCATTCGTGTACCCGCTCCTCTTTCAGCTGTAGTGGCATAGTGGTTGTACTCAGAGAGGAGAGATGATGGGGTTAGAAGAGACGGTGCTGGAAGTACTCGGAAGTCACAGACGATTGGTCATTGCTGGGCTGGCCCCCCCAGAAGCTGCTGGCACGTTTTACTGTCTTTACAAAAGCAGAATGAAGACCACAGCCGGGAAGACTCTTGTTAAGGACCAGTAGTGTCTATTTGTGCCATCAATAGTGAAACACAGCATTCAAGAGAAGTGCTTCCCGTTGAATGTTGAGGAGAGGGTGTCTGAGCCCTGTAAGACTGTTAACGCCGCTTCTCATCAGCGCTGAACAGGTAGATGGGAGAGTGGGGTGAGGCAGGTCTCGGCAGAGGAACCAAGACCAGACAGAGGCAGGAGCAGTGATTTATTTGAAAGTCAGAACACTTTCTGGCCTAGTGGAAGCATCTCCATGAAGATCCTGAACATTTCATGGTGCTTGAGAGTCTCATTTCTGTGTCGTGTAAACCCGAGATATACCAGGAAGGGGATGAAAGTGCTTTTTCTTGATGCTCCCTGACACAAAGCCGCTGAAGCTGTATATCTCTCCTCTTAGGAAATTAGGTCATTATGTAATCCTACTGCAGATATAAAAAATATTCATGAGACTAATCAAGCTCTTTGTGATGCCAATTAGCTTGACAGCAGGGTTTCAGGGCCCTGCCTCTGGGCATTTGCATTTGTCTCGCTTTTAATGGAATTACTGTAGCTTTGTCTTTCCCTGTAGATGATATTCTCTTGTCACCATTTCTCTCGTCACCATTTCATCCTCTCCTCTTTATCTGCTAATTAGACACCCCCTGTTGTTTTCCTTGCAATTTCTCCTGTTGCTTAACTGTCATCTTCCATTCTCTACATACGTTTCCATTTAATCAGATCCATGAGGAGCAATGTATAAGAACTGTTTTCTTGGCCATCACAAATTCTGGATGTTCTGATTGGAGCTAAGTCTTGAACTTTGTTTGGAGACGCCACGTGAAAAGTGTTTGACATCGTATGTAGTCTTAATTCTGTGTTCTGGAAAATGTCTTGAATATCTTCTGGCTGCTGATGAAATGCTTTCGACAAGTTCTGAGCAGAGTCCTGGCAGTAAAAAACACGATGAGATGTGGCTAGAAGTGTGGTGAGTGTGAATTAGGAGAGAAAGAGGGAGAAATGTGAGAAATGTTGGGGCTGTTAAGCAGAGACTCTTGGACACAGGACACGGTGAGGGAACGTGACTGCTACAGCTTGCTGGGATTAAGTGGATGAGTTTGCCCAGGGATGAATGTAGGAGCGTTTCTGATCTCAGACTTTGACAGCAGACCAAGGTAAATGGAGCAGCAGGGCTATAAAAAGAGTGCAACCCTCTGAAGTCTTGGCATAGAAAACTTCCTGTAGTCTGAGTTCTAGTGCAGGCACTTGGAAAGACCAAGTTAACCTGTAAAGCCCAATGCCCGTTCTTAGCCAGTTTAGAGATTAATAGGAACCTCAGAGATAATGAAGACATCTGCTTGTCATAGAGAGCCGCAGATGTCCATCCCAGCTTTGCCCAGGTTTAACAGGTTTGTCCTCAAACCAAGCTTGCAGAGAGCAAGAGCATTGGGAGGTTTAAAACAAGACTTTAAAGATGAAGCAGATTTAAAATGAATGCAAAATATCAAACTTGGCTGCAGCCTGGTTTCTCTGTAACAGTTTTACCCAAGTGGCTGGATTGGATAACGGTTTCCAAGAGCGTGTAGAGCTGTGTGCGTTTAATAGCGCTCCTCCTCAGCAGCAAGTCATAGAAATGTTCAAGTATTTCATGGGCTGACATTTGCTAGAATACTCTTCAAGATGCCCATCTTGCTGAACGTATTGTTGCTTGTTGCAGTCCATCAGCACTGCTTTTGCAATCTCTGAATTACGATTACCTAAAGAGATGCTGGAGGAGTACCCTGCCTGTAGGAAATGGAGTGTTGTGGCTCATCACCCAAATGTATGTTGCCTTGTCCAAATTGAATTCTGAAATGTGTTGTGAAGAAAATGGCCAGCTGTGAGGCAGACAGGATGATTGTTGCTGGGTGAAGGTCAGAGTTGGGCTAGAAGGTCCACAAGCATGTTGTATGCTGCATGGGGATGCGTATTGATGCATGTTAGTCACAGAAAGGCTAAAGTCCTTTGTTTAGATGACAGGGGAAGGTGTCCATCACCCTGTCCCCCAGCACTGAGCCTTCATTTAATGTCTTTATATCACTGCCTTGATGATCAGGTTAACGTCATGGACTTACAGGAGAGGCTCTTCACACACTCACTTTTGCTTCCTGACCTGTCCAGTTCTTATGTCATTAAATTCATGAAGTTTGTTATTTTAAATTGGATCCAGGCTTTGGAGGTGCTGCAGAGAATGAGTGCAGTTTCAAATTCAGCTGCCTAGTTAGAGCTGTGATTTTTTTTGCTTTCTGCTGTTGACTTTGTTGGACGCCGGTGTGTAGCAGTACCGCTTCAGGATGAAGTCTCCAAATAGACATATTTGCGAACACATCTAGTTCTGTACACATAGAGCATTTTATTGGTCTTAGTTACGTAACAGAGGGTGCAAAACATACAAATGCCTTAATTTGAAGACAACATAAGTTTCTTTATTGAATCATAGAGTAATTTTCATTGGGAGGAATCTCTGGAGGCCATGCACCCAATGCCCTGCTGAAAGCAGGACCAACTGGATCACGTTACTCAGAAACTCATCAAGTTTTTACTGTCTCCAAGAATAGAGATCCCCTAGGGAGCTTTTCTGGTCCCCGGATTCAGTGTTTAACCACAGTCATACTGAATTTCCCCCCCCTAATATCTAATCAGAATTTCCCATGCTGCAACTTGTCTCTGTTGCCTCCTGTGTCCTGTCACCACGCATCTCTGGGAAAAGTCTGGCTCTGCCTTTTCTGTACCCTCCCGTTAGGTAGTTGTAGGCAGCAACAAGTGCCTGCACAAGACTGAATGACCCAATTTCCCGTAGCCTTCTTCATCTTGTTGGCCTCTGCTGGACTCACTCCAGTTTTGCTGTGTGTCGTGTTATGGGAGAGCCCAGAAGTGAACATCATACTCCAAGTTTAGATTCACCAGTGTTGAAAGGAGGGAAGAAATTCCTTCCTTTAACCTACCAGCCACACTCGTACTAGTACAGCCCAGCCTGTGGTTGACCTGCTTGACTGCGAGGAGCCACCGCTGACTCCTTGTTGTGGTTTAGCCCCGGCTGGCAACTAAGCACCATGCAGCCGCTCGCTCGCTCCTCCCCGGCAGGATGGAGGAGAGATTTGGAAGAGTGAAAGTCAGAAAACTCGTGGGTTGAAATAAAGACAGTTTAATAGGTAAAGCAACACCCACGTGTGCAAGCAAAGCAAGGAATTCATTCCCCTCCTCCCATGGCAGGCAGGTGTTCAGCCAGCTCCAGGAAAGCAGGGCTCCATCACACGTAACGGTTACTTGGGAAGACAAACATCGTCACCCTGAACGCCACCCCCTCCTCCGTCCTTCCTCTTCCCCAAGCCACTTATAAACTGAGCATGATGTCATAGGGTGTGGAACATCCCTTTGGTCAGTTTGGATCAGCTGTCCTGGCTGTGTCCCGTCCCAACTCCTTGTGCGCTGGCGGGGGGATGTGAAAAGCAGAAAGGGCCTTGGCTCTGTCTAAGCACTGCTCAGCAATAACAAAAAACACGTCTGTATATTAAAAACACCTCTATACTATCAACACTCTT